AAATTACATTTCAATTTTGTAACTTACAATGTAATTTACATGAAACGTAACAAAGTAATTTATGTAATACATCCCTATTTACAGGACGAAACCGAAAATATTTCGAGTAACGAGCCAATTTTTAATTTGTCCCAGAATTTATGAGAACATCTGTAAGTGTCGGTAAAACATTGCGTCTACGAAATGGGCGTCGGTAAAATAAGCGGGACCCATATTAATGTAACCCAATTGTTGGGTAATGTTTCGTTCGTATATTTCACTGAAGCTGAACCATGAAACCATGAACAGACCGAATTTATTGATCAATTAATGCTTTTTATTCTCACAATAATTAAAGTTTTGAGTTTAATTACATTAAAGTGTATACGTAATAACCAAAAAATTCGTTAACAAATCACATATAAAGATGCAATTTTTAAAACTTTACAAAAGGTTTTCTTTATTAAATTTAATTCATATTAGGATAAATCTAAACAGTGCCCCCATGCACTTTGTGCCCCTATAACAAAACTGAGCCTGCAATAGTAATTAGGTTAGATTAAGGTTAGATTTAAGGTTAGGGTAAGGTAAAATTGCGAGAGGAATATTTTTGCTTATGTTACACGACAGGGTTACCTAGTCAAAATTTTGAGATATTGGCGATTTTATAGTAAAGAGCACAAAGTGCATGGGGCACTGTACTGTCTAGTCGTGTCCTTAATATTATATAGAATTATCTTGCTTAATTTCAGACCCCATATTTGCATATGGGAAAAGGGACCAAATTGACAATTTGTTCAAAAATCTTTTTTTGAGCTTACCTAATCCAAAATTATATAACTGTATTTATTATAGAATTTATAATATAAAAATCAATTTCCGTAAAAAACTTTTTTTGTTAATAATTTGATCCTTTTTTTAACGACATATCAAAGTGTAGCTTTAAATGATCACAGCAGTACATACGTAATAGAGGAATTAACTACATTTGGAGGAATTAACTACATTTGGAGGAATTAACTACATTTGGCCAGGATTATCAAAACTTTCTTGGCACGTGATTTGATTACTAGTGTAACGCTTAATTTTCGCCTTTATGGACAACTCAAGTTTTAAAAGTTTATCTTCTTTCTTTTATTGTGGTTTTTGGCGTAATAACAAACGGAATAAGACTATTATTTGTAAAACAAATATAAAGTTTTTATAATAGCTTTGTAAAATTCCAATCTTTAGACACTTGCTCAATAAAATAGATTTATATTCCCGAAAAAAAGATGTCAAGTCGTGCTTTTAAAAGAGCTGCAAATAAAGAAGATTCACTTTCTTTAAAACATGTAAACGATGATTCGGAAGAAATTATTGATGATTCTGATCATGAACGTCCGAAAAAGAATTTATTTGATTTAGTACGTTAAAAATTTTCTGTTTTTTATATGATCATTTGATTTGATCAATAAATTTTTTTTTCTTATTAAAAATTATACATCGATTCAGTTAAATGAAGAAAATGAAGAGACCGAAAATGTTGATCAAAATTCTGAAAATGAAAATATAAGTGAAAAGGTTTGTGCTATATGATCTTTAGCAATACCAATTATACTTTGTGCGTTAATGGAATCATTAATAGAATCATTGAATTATTTAGCCAACTCCAAAAGATTCATCTTTGTCAAAAAAAAAGAAAAAGAAAAAGCAAAAAAATAATTCCACAAAAAATATATCTAAAGATTCGGATAAAAAGACTAAATCAGGAAAGAAAGTTGAAGAAATGAATGACTCAGAATTGGAATCTTTAATTCGTGAAGTTTCTGAAAAGTAATTTTTATAATATTTAGTTATCACCTAATAAAATTATATTTAGTTGATTCAATTGTTTTTATTATATTTGCTAGGTTCGGTGATTCTTCACAGGCAATAAAAGATGATTCTACCGTTAATGTTAGTTCCTCGTCTTCTGTTCCTCCATCAAATATTTCATTTCTTGTTGTTGACCCCCGCTTATTAGACGATGACGGAGAAATGAGAAGAATGTTTTCTTCTGGAGTTGTGAGTATATTTACTCTTTAGGTTTCAAAGTTAGTTAAATTTTTGCGTTACTTTTGTATTGAGTAAGATAACCTCACAATGATTAGATTTACAGGTTGATAGAGAGATTCGTAATCGTAATTATGCACGAACTGTTAAAAAGACTTTACTTGCAAAACCAAGGCAGAATTGGCCACCTATTACAAAGTGTGGTCTTGGAATGGAACTATTAGAAGAGAAAGATGGTGTTTTTTATTTCACATTCACTCACTCTAATCAATATCAAACTGTCCAGTTGACTTTTATGCAGTGTGTCGCTACACATGGTATGATTCATAATATATCTATCCTTTATATCACAATAATATTGATCATTTATAACGATGATTATATAAAATTCCGCCTCCGCCATAGATCCAAATACTATTTATGCTCTTCTACGGGATAGTCCATATCATATAGATTCATTATTACAAATGAGTGACATTTACAAGATGTCTGGTGACCTGGTTATGGCACAAGAATTCTTAGAACGTGCTTTGTACTCATTTGAAAGAAACTTTCATATAAAGTTTAATATTACAAGAGGAATTTCTCGAATGAGTTATAAACGTTATGA